GGGCAGATCAGTCGGGCCTGCCCATATTTATACAGTGCTACAGTCTGTCAGTCCTTCTGTGGTCACTGATCTTCATTGCATAGGTGTCGGCCGTGCCATAGCTAAAGTAGTTAGTCGCTGGCTTCCCACCGCGGCAGCCCAGGTTCAAACCCAGGTCTGGTCAAGTGGTGTGGTGGACAAAGTGGCGCTGAGGTAGGTTTCCTCCGAGTACTTGGGTTTTCCCTGCCAATCTTCATTCCACCAAATCACCCGGGGCAGGTACAATAGGCCAATCAGTGGCCACCGTGCCAAGTGGACCCAAATGGACTCCGCCCTCCACTGTGCGAATTAAAAAAAACAAAATTAGCATAGGTGTCACTGTACTCAGTGAGTTCTTCCAACTCTTGCAATTCAGGGTTAGGGTCAGCCCTTCCCGTGATGACAGCACATGGTGGGAGGGCCTTAACGTGTATGCCACTGTTCTCCCTTATCCGCTGGCAACCACTAATTTCATGATGGCTGGCCATCCCTCCTATCCACCTGTCTTTTTCTCAGTTGCCATTCGTACCTTCTTGCTTGTTCCCATGTCTCTTGGAGGCTGCTCTTGTTTCTCCCACCAGTCGTCATTTTCTGCCTCCCTTCTAAAGGTGGCCTGGCTCCCAACTCCAGCACACTGATCATGATTGGTCTCCTCGCCTGGTTGGGGGGCAATCGGCTCACCCAGAATGTCCTGGCACTCATTATTTTTGGGACAGGCTGATAGGAGCACAGCCTACAACTCAAAGGCCTGCCTGAGAGCCTCCTTCACCTTTCTCTCTCCTCCCAGCAGCAGCTGTATTCTCATGGTGGGGCCTTCTACCCAGTCTGTGATTGCCTTGCTTGCTATGTGGTCCTCTGGTAATGTGAAACAGGTGCTGTGGACCAGCTGCTTGACAGCTGTGGCAAGTTCCTGCAAGGATCCTCTGGCACCCTGGGTCCTCGATTTTAGATGACTGCGATATGTAGCAGCCAGGGGCTGGTCCCTGAAGTGGTCTTCCAGGGCCTCGTGGATTTCTTCATAGATCACTCCTTTCAGGACTCCATGTAGCAAGTTCGTGGCTCTGCCCTGCAAGGTGGTGAAGAAGTATATGGATATCTCCTGGCACTTCCAGTAGTTGTGCTCTGCTCCAGTCTCGAACAGAGGCCGGAACACAGCCCATGATGTAGTCTCGTTAAATTTAGGTGGCATCGCCATGCCTGCACCAGTCCCTATTCCTCTTCCACACTCGGCCCCAGCCTCAAATTCTTTCAACTGTGGTCAGAATTCGCATCAGGCCACTTCAATCTCGGCTTCCATTCTTTCTTGACGTGCCACAAACTACCACCTTATTTGTTCAATATTTTTATAAATGATGTATGCGCCAAAATTCAGCATTCCAATTTTCTATTATTGCTGATGCTCCAGAGTCCTTTGTGGTATAGTGTGCAGAGTAGTGTAAATAACTGCAACATGATACTGATCTGAGGCAAAGTGGTGTACTGAAAATTATATGAAACTCACAACGTCCCTAAGACCAACATAATTTCTCTTTGTAAAACCAACAGCACTTATTTTAATTACTATATCGGTGATGTTTTAACTGCATCTGAAGAGGGTGTAAAAGGTCTCTGTGTAACGTAAAGAATAAACAGTATTTTCAATGTCATGTTGACTGCATACCGTATTTACGCATGTATAGGCCGCGTGCGTGTATAGGCCGCAGCACAATTTTCAGACAGAAATTATAGAAAAAATAATTTTCTTGGAATATTATTTCAGGAGTATTACACCCTGTATTACTAATTATGAACGTAATTTTTTTTAAATGAAGTGTGATTTCGAATATTTTGAATATAAGCCGCACCCCAGTTTTCCTCTTGAATTTTTGGCAAAAAATGTGCGGCCTATACATGCGTAAATACGGTATATGGGGTTTGTCCGGAAAGTTATGCAATTAAGTTTGTAAAAAAAATTCATTCAAGATATCGTTACAAACGTTTAACATTCTTCAAAGTACACCCCTTGGGCATCCACACACTTTTTCCAGCGACTTTTCCATGCACGGTACACATCCTGGAAGGCGACGACGGGGACCTCATTTAGAGCCTTTGTCATGGTGGTTTGGATCGCTTCAATGGTTCCAAAATGGGTTCCTTTCAGGGTGGTCTTGATCCTCGGGAACAAAAAGAAGTCTGCCAGAGCCAGGTCAGGACTGTAGGAGGGCTGGGGCAACGTTGCCAAGCTGTGCTTGGCCAGAAACTCCCAGACACGCAAAGCGGTGTGGCTGGGAGCGTTGTCATGGTGCAGCAGCCAAGTAGCAGTGATCTCCTTTCGAGTGCGGACGACCCTGTTTCTTAATCTGTCGAGCACTTCCACATAGTAGATAGCGTTGACAGTCTGCCCTTGGGGTACAAATTCTTTGTGGACCACACCCTTGGCATCGAAGAAGACAATGAGCATGGTTTTCACTTTCGATTTGCTCATTCTTGCCTTCTTGGGACAAGGGGACTCCAAGGTGTGCCATTCGGAACTTCAGCGCTTCATCTCTGGGTCGTACTCGAAGGCCTGTGTTTCGTTGCCGGTAATGACACTGTCCAAAAAATCAGGTTTGTTTTGCACACGTTCCAAAAGTTCACTCGTGATGGTCACTCAGTTGTTCTTGTGGTCATCAGTCAACAACTTGGGGACCAACTTGGCACACACTTTCCACATGTGCAAATCCTCAGTAACGATGCCATGCACAGTGGTATTCCGAATACTGAGAGTCTCTGCTATCATCCGAACACTCATTTGACAATCGGTATTTAAAAGATCACGAACACGAGACACATATTTGTCACTTTTGCTGGTTGACGGCCGTCCAGAGCGGGGGTCATCCTCCACCTCTTCCCAGCCATTTTTAAACAACTTCAACCACCTGGAGACTTCAGAGTCCCCATAGGCTTCCTGAATCATTTGGTGGGTGTTGGCGAGGCTTTTGTTCAGTTTAGCACAGAACCTGATCGCGTAACATTGTTCGATAGTTTTCTCCATTGCGCGTCGTGACACAGGCACTAACAGGAGGTTCATGGAAACAGCGATCCTGACGCTCCCAAAGCACAGAGCAGACTGAGCTTGGAAGCGTTGTGAAGCTTAAGAGCCCCCCCCCACCCCTTTCCCAACCGGTCCAAATGCACTGCAACCAGGAGAAGCGGCAGGAAAAAACAAATTGCATTACTTTCCAGACAGACCCTGTATTCTCATGCACTAAAGTTGCTAGATCAGGTGGCTTCATTATGTGCAATTTTCCTTTCCTCTAGAGCCTAACAGTTTATATGTTGCCTAAATTTGATTACAGCTGAATTATTACTCATCAACTGGAACAGCCTTACCATGAAAATTGTAACAAAATGGAAAATACACAAAAAACTAAGTTTGTGTTTACAATTAATTTAATTAGTCTGAGTCTCCTCAGATGTATAATTCAGTTTTTAATTGTTCAAAAATTAGAAAACTTTTTCCTTCCTTGATCTTATTTACTTGAATCTTACTTGTAGCTCATTATTTTGTTTCATTTTAATTTTTAGTTTTGTATTTATTTGCTCCCCTACAGTGCTTGCCTGTTACAGTTCTGCCGTTGGCAAATACTCAGAACAACTAAAGTGAGTTATCATCAACTGAAACAGCAGCAATAGCAGTATCTCCATGCCCATTTCACACATGTAGTTCCAATGGTTCACAAGTTATCACACTCCAACCAAAAGCTGAACAGAGACTTCAAGCAGCTGCCATTTTGTTTCACATTCTGCCAAACACAGAAGCTGCACATTTTTCAAAAACTCATTATCATACATTATTTCAGGATCCAATATTAAGTGTCATTAATGCTTCTCACTTCGCAGGTTCATGTGTCTGACACATTCTTTCTATCAACTGTAGGCAACTGAAAGTAGGAGCCTGGGATAACAATCAGTATCATGTTTCATGAAAACTGGTCAACTGGTTCAAAGTGAAAAGGGAAGGGGCAAACAGAATGACAGCATGGTGATGTTATATATGTACTTTCTTTAGAAGAAGAACATACACTAAAGATTGCAGCACTCAGCCTCCTGGTCCACATCTAAGTGTTGTTACAATATTGCAATAACATGATGAAGTTTAACAAGTTCATATTGTAACCTTACCCTTTCATCCTTCCCACTCCAAAACTGAGCCATGTGAAAGAAGATAAAAACATGGAACCGGCAAAGCTATGCTTGTCCTTAAGAACGACACTGTGAATGAACATGAAGGGGTATGAGGGTAAAGCGTCACTCATATGCAACTGACAGAATGCACTGCTGCTTTTCCCTTTCAGAAAAAGGGCCCCTGGTACCTACCAAATAGGAGGACAGGACAAATTTTTAATATAAGCAATTAATATCTTAACTGTTGACATCAAGCCCTAGTGCCATTGCCATCAAGGTGGTCAAGGGACAACTCTCAATGCCCTCGCCAAGAATCAAAACTTCAGATACCCAGTACATAGCTTGTCACTATACAGAGCATCAAGAGCTTATGATAAGATATAGAAAACAGAAATATTTCTTCCTTAATCAGGGCATCAACACTCACTCACTCACTCACTCACTAATATATATTCAGTCATAAACCCACTCATGCTCATACACACCCACAACTTATATACATATGACAAATGAAGATTTTAACTGTCATCGCTTACCTGACTACCAGATTCATCACTATTCTGAGTTGTTCTTGGAGGTGAACCACTCTTACGACGAATGCCTCGGTGTATTGTCCATTTCTGAAAAGAACATTCAAATGACACAGAATAAATGGACGCTATTTAATCACTAATATTATCTATGAATATAAATTCCTTGTTATTCTAACTTTGTTTTCTCACTCCTTGCCATCCTTGTGCAACTGTCTCAGCACAAAAGGATAAAACTAACACATCAACAAAAACATATACCAGAACCAAGAATATACTTGTAAAGTAACAAGAAGTGATCTCCTCAACAGGTGTCAAGTCATTCCTAGACAAGGAACAAATTCCTGATACTCAGTTACTCCATGCGTAACATATCACTGTGAGATCCACTTAGAATTTAATTATGAAATGTGTTTGAATGCTAGAGAACAGTGCATTCAACAGCTAATCTGAAACCACAGCAATGCAGATATCTATCTACGTACATGCGAATGAACATATTTTTCTTCAGCATTACCCATGTGCAAGTCATATTTTCTCACTGTAAAGCTGCAATACACACAATAACCCAACAACAAACCCTCCTTTCTACTGATTGTCCTAAACAGCAAATCATAAAAGTTGTAAATGCAAAAAATGCACCTCTTGGACAGATAATCCTGAGAAAACTATTAATTTTGCTGTTACATGCGTGGATTCAAGCCCAAGTCTACTTCTTTCCATATTCTTCTAACCATAAGGAAAGCACTGAGATCATATCGAGTATGTAATCATGGTCATAAAACCTGCTCTTAGGTCACAGTAATGATGTATGTAGGGTCCCACTTACAGATGTTAGAAATGTTACATGTAAGTAACCATCATGGAAAAAAAAGCTGTTCTTCAAATTGCAGTTCAAATTTTTCTGTACAGACAAAATACGAACTGAGATAAAAGAAGAGTACTGATAAACTGAACTGAAATGGGGAGGGGGAGGGAAAGAATGAATGAAGAATACACAACTGATGAAGACAGAAAGAAAATATTATTTTGCTGCATCCTGCTACACAGCACTTAGTATCAAATGTTACTGGCTCCACCATCTCACGTGCAACATGTCTTTCTATAAAACTTACAAAGGTTATTCTCACTTTAAAAGTTCTGCACATCAAATAACTTTCAAATGTTAAAAAGCTACAACTTTTAAAGTGAATAACCTTTAATAAGTGTTACGGAAAAATGTGTTGCACATGAAACAGTGGAACCAGTAACGTCTAACAGAAAGAAAAATATTGATAAAGGACTGCAGAAACACAAAAGGAAAAACAAGAAAGAGAAAGCATAAGAATATATTATTATTCTTTCACATTTAGTATCAGTATGACTGTACTGTACTTTCAGGGCTTTCAAACTATTGTGGTTATTTTCCTCAACAAAGTTCTTTTAATGAATTTCCTCTTGAAATTTCAATGTTAGTCATAACATAAACACTAAGAAGGGGAATCCTTATGGCTGCCTTCCACAATAAAGGTGTTTGTAATGTATAAGTAATTCACTGTTTTCAATAATTCTAAACACATTTCTGCATCTCCAGGCACATTTGAAACACAAAGTTTGTGCATTTGTGCCCATTTGTGCATTTATACAAGTATCACTACTACTATCTTCTCTCTAACCCTCTTACAATGTAACGCTGGAAAAGAGTACACAGGACTCTTAGCATCCCTTGCTATTTGCAATATAACAAGTATCTTCTGAATACTAATTTAAATGCATTATGTGAAAGCTTTATATTGATCGAATAACATCTATGAACAATTATTAAATCAATGATAATTAGCTCTGTAAAATTCTCCCATCCTGCCACTTTTCATCCTTCCTTCCATCCTGTTTGGTCTGGTTGCCACAGACCACATAAATACACAGGAACTTTCTAAAAAGACACTGCTGTTTTAATTTCATATAATTACCTAACTACATAGCAAACTTCACTGTATTTGGTGTCTCTGAGTTCAGTAGTCTCGGGGGGGGAATGACAATCACACTGGTGCATCACTGGCACCCATGACCATCTGCAGCTGGCATCAGAAATTCTGCACAACTGCAGCTGAAGTTTCTTCACTGATGCTAATTACTTCTGCTGAAATTTATTGTTTCAGTTGACTATGCAGACTGGTTTTGTAAACTGTGTCTTTTGAAAAGCCCAGTAATAGTAAACTTGTCCCTGTGCTTAACTAATTATGCACTACTACAAGAAGGCATATGGGGGAGTGGATGTACAGATCCACATTTTCTTGATCTTAACACTAGCCGGAGGTGAGTGGTCAGCTTCACACACCAGCCGCTTTACCCCTGGGGAAAAAGCCCCCGGTACGCACTGGACAGGAGGTTCAGTGGACCCCAGAGCCAGTCTGGACGAAGTGAAGAAAATTCTTGACCCTACCAGGACTCAAACTCCAACTCTTCGGATATCTAGCCCATAGCCAGTCACTATACCAACTATGTAAGAAACAAGAATGAGCACTGAGGACATACAACACTGCAGTGTGGCCAAGACTCATCCTGTTAAAAAATGTTTCTCCAAAATTCACACACATCAACTTGAAGAAATGTAAGAAATTTTCTTGAAAGGCATTTAGATAATAACCAGCAGTCACAGTATCATGGAAAACAATTGTTCTCACAACACCATTTGCTGAAAGAACACACCACACTGTCATCCAAAAACATTTTAGACACCAGAGATGACAACTTTCCTAGCTTTATTGGCCTCATGAAGGGCTGGCTGGATTTTAATTTTGTATGGAATCAGCTTCACATATTCTCAAATTATCTTGGATGCTGACGATGCTTCTAAGCTGAGTAGATGAGAAAGACATTTTCATAAACTTCCTGGGACCCCGCTTCAACACCAGCTTGACAATGTGTATGTTTTCTAGCATTCTGACAGACTTCTTCCTTATTAAAATCGGTCCCAGTCATTTGAAACTTGCTATCCAATCTGTTTATTGCAGACATACTTGGTGCTTTCCTGCACTCAAATTTCATCAGAACTCACAATAAATCATGAAAACACTAGTAATCTGGTAAAAATCCTTTCACTAAAAACACACCGTTCTACTGAGTATGCCAACTGATATCTGCAATTTCATTATGTTTCCACCAAGGCAGCACATTCTTTACTACTACCAAGCTCTGACACACCACTGCTAAAACTGGAGCACATCTGTGGAAAGACACCATATATCCTCCATTGTTTCACTGATAGGCAAATACAATTCAATGGAGAAGAGATATATTTGGCATTTACAAAACTTCTCAACAGGCAGAAAAAACAGGGTATCAATAATTAATAAGAATAACTGTTCCTTTCTTGCAGTGAAGAGATTAAAGTAAAAAGTAAAAAAGAAAAAAAAAAAGTAAAGCTATCCCTGTACCGGGCCATAAAGGCCCACTGGGTTCTGAGATGTTGAGGGTACCACATTATCTAAACAATCAGCTCAATGATGGCAATAAGGTTGTCAGCCGCTTTACCCCCCAGGAAAATTATTTAATTAATTCCTGGTGCTCATTTCTGTTAGAGGCTGAGTCGACGCCAGGGCCATAGTGTGGCTGGAAGGATTAGGTCAATTGAAAGAAATCCAATGACCTCATCGGGACTTGAACTTGTGACCTTCCTGCTTGTAGCATAGCCCCTCAACCACCTACGCTCCCGCTTGCCCCCCTAGAAGAAGTCAAAGTATCCTGTTATTATGTTTAGGGTCATCATGGTGGTGAACAATCATACTGTAGTCTGGGTACGACACTCTGTAGTCTTATAGGGGAGTAAAAATATTTGGGGGACATACACTGCATACTACACACTTCAATCTTCTATCCTGAATATGGAAACAGTGTGCTTCTCCAGAACTACAAAGTGCCATAACCCAGAAGACTATAATATGTCCTGTTACTGTTTTCACTGTTCATGAACTTTATTAAAAATGTGTTACGCCACACATTCATTCATATGACTGCTGCAATAAATAAGCAAATTCTGTGTTCCAGTATAGTTAATTTTAAGAAGACCTGTTTGTGGAACAAGAATTTGCCTATTCCTTAGACAAATGCTCAGTAATGTGCGCTAAAATATGACACATAATTAACACCAAAATAAATAATAGAAGCCAATATTAACTTAATATCAAAGTCAGTAACAAAAAAAGTAAGAACCTTCTCATCAGAATCCGAGTCAGTGTTTGAACCTAATTCTGATCCTACTTCACTGCCTTCTTCACGATGAACAGCCAATTTCCTTGCTTGTCGGTCCATCAAACTTGTTCGACTCCGCGTTTTCTTCCATGAGTAGTAGTACTTCACTAGGCTTGCTATAGATTTGTCTGGCAGCTGAAATATATGAATACTCAGACTAGTGAACAGTAAAGAACTAAAGAAATGAAAACAACAAACCCTTGGTTCTCAACACTATGTATCTGTGTGCATAAAATACTAAATTTTGGGAACAAAGTCTGGATATCTTACAGAACAATCAAATTAAGAAAATAAAAATGATTGCACACAATAACTCAGAACGTTGTTCACTGTTAACCAATCTCCAGTACAGGCTTCATATGATTTACACATTCATCCAATGACTATAACTGTCTTTCAGTCCTTAAGATTAATCCTTGAAAGAATTATGAATTGAAACACTATATGAAAATACACAACTATACACAAAAACAAAATGTACTTCTTACCATTTGCCTAATCCTATGAAAGCTCTTCCCATGAAACTGAAAAGCTTGTTCAAATAATACTTTATCCTCAACTGTCCATTCATCCGGAAAAGGTGTGAAGTTGGCAAGATCCAATATTGCCCGTTCGAGATCATGTTTATGCCAGAACAGCATCCCAAGAGCCTGTTCTCCATTGTAACCATACTTCTCTTTCGCAAGTGATATATATTCATCCACTGGAACAAAGATAATTTCAAATCACTACAGCAAAGAGGAATTATTAAATGTGCACCTCCCGCATCACAATCCATAATCAAATGCTTTAATCAAAACAAGGAAAAAAAAGACAAAAAATGTGTATTCCAAACCAAGTTCATACTGTTTTCCAAACGTATTCTTTGCAATTTTACATATTTCATAGATCTTGATGTTTATCCATTGCTGATATAAAATTTTTGTTGGTCCTACACCATACTGTCAGTACTGAGACTATACAATGTCAGACGACAGGGTGATTAAAGAATAAGGAGCTGATGGCATAAGAATTGTGCAGGGGAAACCAAAGTACTTAGATAAAACAAACACCAGTCCTTTATACAATACAAATCCACCATGATCTGATCTGGGATCAAACCTGGGTTGCAGCAGTGGAAAGCATACAACTGCCACTCAAGAGGAGGCATGGATAACACAGAACTATTACTTCTCATATGAGTTAAAACAAAAAGGAAATGTGGGAATGCTGAATGTTGCAAATGTCTTGTCTGTGATCACAGTGTAACTTGTAAATATGACAATGAGCCATCTGCGTAGTCAGCATACTCCAACCAATGTGGCACTGAATGAAGGTTCTGCTTACTCATAGCTCTTTGTCATAAGGCATGAACTCTTAATCTCTTGCAATAAGGTATGGTGAACTCCCAGTTTTCCAGTGTCAAAGCATCAAAATTCTCAACTGGCAAAAATTTCAATGAAAACATACCATTCTCAGCAAGTTATTCAAAAAGCAAACTTTCATGTGCATCATGCAGCAGTTTTCTCCATAGCACTACCTGCTGTCACCTCTGACACAGCTGCCATTACAGTAAGCATTAGTTCAATTCTGTAATCATGTTACAGAATATCAGGAATGTTTCAACCATTACTCCATTATGCCACCTAGGACTCCAATGAAGGAAGCAATGCAAAAACACGTTGTTTTCTCTTGGAATTACCAAGTATTTGGACTTTGTCCATTACCCAGTACTCTCCAAAGAACAAATTCTTTTGAGTACCAGACAACAGACAAAGTACAAAAACTTAGTAATTCACTTTTGATTTGTTTCATTCTGGTCCATCACATTAACAATTATAAATGCAAACCACTCCGTCCAATGTGACATATAAGTTTTTACTACGTAAGGGAGATAAGTTTTAACGTAGTAAAAACTTATATGTCACATTGGACAGAGTGGTTTGTATTTACATGTATATTAGTAATTCACACTATTAAACACTATCATCAGAATTCCTTACATCGGACATGGTGTTCAGACTTTGTGCAGAGTTTCTGCAAGAGCTTTCATGCAACTGACAGATTCATGTGACCAGCAAACTTCAATCCCCATTCATGGTAGATAACAGAAAACTTACAGCTATTTCCAGCAATATAATCCTTGCCTGCTGAAGCTCTGCACAAAAAAATAACATCACTAAGTGTTTCAAGACAGAATGCATCACAAAACTTCTTTGCATACTGCGAGATATGCTTGAAGGCAGAGGAAGGTACTTCAGCAGTTACAAAATAAGGACAGTCTGTGCCACATGTAGCAAAAAACCGTGCACAGTGGGGTCTATGCTTGAGCAATAAATGACTGCTGTGCTATCACAAATAATGTGTTTCCATCTCAACTGAAAACTACACAAATTTACTCCTCAATTCAAATGACAGCTTTTCTTCCACACTGTCGTAAAAGCAGAAACATGGACAGCCCACAGATGATAATATACATGCTTAATACTCCCATTCTTCCTTCAGATTTGGTTGCTTTCCTTGACAGGATCACACTATATCATAGCTAAAACCTCATAGCAGTTGTCTAATGTTAGCAACTAGACAAAGAGCCACAAAAGTGCACTTGGTATAGCAACTGGCTATGGGCTGGATGGCCAAGGAGTCAAGAGTTCACATCATGGTAGGAACAACATTTCTGTCCTCTTCACATCATCCAGACCAGCTTCTGGGGCCCACTCAGTCCTCCTATCCAATGGGTACCTGGAGCTCTTTCCCCGAGAGTAAAGCGGCCTCCAACTAGTACCGAGGTCAAGATTACGTGAATTAATACATCCACTCACCCATGTCTTCATGACGTAATGCTTAAACAGCCAGGAACAGGACCAACTTTACCTTTTTTTTACCTTAGTGACTATACATGGGGTTTGGATTGGTAACTGGATTTATTGAACTCCTATAACTCGTAGCTACAGGTACTTATGGGGCACGCAGTAGCGTAGTTGGTTGAGGCACTATGCTACGAGTACAATCCAGAAAGTTATGGGATTGAATCCTGATGAGGTGGATTTTTTTCAATTTACCTAATTCCTCCAGCCGCACTATGGCCCTGGGGTCGACTCAGCCTCTAACAGAAATGAGTACCAGGAATACTACTGAGGGTAAAGGGTGGCCGGCGCATAGAGGTGACATCACCGCCCTATTGCCGATCTACACATTTGTCAACAAATCACTGACATACATGCTGTCTCAGTCTGGACTCATATAACTTGTAACTATAAGTACTTATAATGCTATTGCCGATCTACACATTTNACCTCACCGCCATCTGTGAGCCAATTTCTAGAAAATGTGGGACCCTCAACATCTCCCAACCCTATAGGCCTCCACAGCCTGTTACAGGGATACCTTTACTTTTTTTACAGGTACTTATAACACTATCGCCAATCTACACATGTCAACAAATCACTGACATACAATGTTGTCTCAGTGTTATAGTCTTCACTAGCCATTGTTCAGTTACAGATCTCAACAATGGACATTCTTCTGCTCACATGCTTATGTCATTGCCGGTTGGCTAATGTCTCACAACTAGCCCTCAACTGGCCATTCACTCACTGTGAGTAACTGTGACTAGGCTGACAGCCTCATTCTGTAACCTCAGTGCAGAAAGCACAGGATACACCCAATCCAGCAATCTCCTCTATTGTTGCGTGTATTCACTGTCATGAAAACATGTTTACCCAGCTGTCACCACACAATGGAGCATGTAATCATGTCGCAATATTGAACCGACTAAAAAATTAAAGTATACACAAATAATTAAAAAACATACGGATAGATGATTTTAAGCGAATCCAAAAATTTTAAATTACCTGCACATACAGCAGCTGCTACTATACATGTTTGTAAGAACACATAGTACAAGGGTCATGCCAAAAGCAGGCGCAACTTCACTACTGTACAGGGTGTGTCCGAAATACCCCAACAGATTTTTAAATGCAATTACTATCTTTTCCGCTATGCAACATTTCAATACTAATATTCGTCATGTAGCGTGCTCTTTGGAGTTGTGATGAGATGGAGTACTGGTTACTGCAACATCACAATGTGGCTGTGGAACTGTTTATTAAAACAGAGTTGACTAAAACTATAAAGCAGGTTTCTGACTACTGTCTCAATACTGTACTATTTGGGGTACTTAAATGGCATCGAGAAGGATCAGTGAAGGTCAGTGAACCTCAGAACATCCGCGTTCAATGTGCACACCTAACAATGTGGTGCGAGTAAGAGAAGCCACGTTGCAGTCCCCACCAGTCAGGTTGTTGGCAAGCTCTCGCACTTGGCTTAAAGGGCAGTAGCGTTCAGAAAATTCTGCACCAAGATTTGCATTAACAGCCTTGCAAAGTTCGAGCTGCCCAGGAACTCAGTGAACACGAAAAGGTAAACCAACTTCAATTTTATAATCAATTCCTGAACTTGTGAACAGCTGCAATAATGTGAACTAATTATTGATGTCAGATGAGACCCAACTTCCAAATATCAGGTTATGTGAATAAATAAACTGTCAGTTTTGGGCTGCAAATAACCCATGTGAACTTCACCAATGCTCTTGCATAGTGCGAAAGTGAAAGTGTGGTGTGCTATTTCTTCTAGAGGCATTATTGGTCCCTATTTCTTTGAGGATGAGGAGGGACAACTGTATCAATGCGGAACAGTACATGGCCATGCTGGAAACATTACTGCAAAACAAATTAAATCGTCAGCTTAATGCACTGTGGTTTCAACATGATGGAGCAAGTGCTCACTCAGCATGGTTTTCCTTCGCAGTTCTGAGGGAGATGTTTCCAGGAAGACTCATTTCTTGTTTCTGGAGCACCAACTGACCCAGCTGCTTGCCTGATCTTTTGGCATCAGGTTAATTTATTTGGGGATATGTCAAAAGCAAGGTGTATGAAACATGTCCTGCCAATATTGATGACTTTAAACAGCAAATTCAAGAGTGAATTCAAGGAATTCCTAATGAAATCCTACAATATGTTACAGCATCCATGCTGTCTCAACTGCAGGTGTGGTGAACAACAAGGCAGTCACAGCGAAGGTATCATATTCAAATAAAAATCCTAAAAAATCTCAATGGAAATAGAAATGTATCTATGTGTTAAGAAATTGTTTCACCTTGCTTTGAGAAGTTATTTCATTTAAAAAACTGTCGAGTGTTTCTGGCACACCTTGTATGTTTTCTTGATGTAAAAAGACTAGGGGTTACATGGTCCTTAGCTTATATGTTTGCTGCAATCTGAAATACATGTACAGTGCATGTGCACCGATACTTTTTAATGTATTTGTATCAAAGAAGTGTTGTTTACCAAGTCTCATGAAAAATCTGTCAAAAGACATACAAGATACATAAGAAAAAAGTTAATTTAGATTGACCCTGGCCCTCAAACAGAACCAGTACCTAACCAAAATAATGGTAAAAGGTAAAGCTGTCCCTGTGGTTAGTTAATTAAGCATCACACAATGAAGATGTATTGGGGAATGCAGCTATGGCTAGATGAGCACCAGATGTGCGTGAGTGGTCAGCTTCATGGTCCAGCCACATTACCCACCAAGAAAGAGCCCCAGTAACTACCGGATAGCAGGGTGGTTGGGCCAAGAGCTGGTCTGGACACTGGAGAAGAGAAAAGCCCTTGCTGGGAATTCAACCCTGGCTGTCCAGCCCGTCACTGTACTGACTGAATTATCCTAGTTTGTAATCAAAATATAAATGACTTAAAATTTAACACACGTCTACCATACAGACTTTCAACTGAACTGGTCAAGTAGTTAGGATGCTATGAGACAGGTAACAGTAAAGCTGTCCCTATGTTTAAACATCACTCATTAAAAATGTATGGTGGAATGGCACTAAGATCCACAACATTACTTCAGTACATGACGGAAGTTGTGTAGCCAAGCTTCACACGCCAACCTCTTTATCCAAATAAAAAGTGCCTCCGGTACCAGTGATATTAACTTCCTGGTGCTCCTCAAAATTTATTTTAAACAAACAAAAGCAAAATACGCGAACAAAATACAACTGCAACCAGTAAGAAACATAACTGTAATCTGTGGCTCAAGGAAATCTGCCTTCTCTTGACTCATGTATGTTCACACACACACACACACATTTACACTAAACACACCAAATAATACTAGCTTTTACTCACATTTATAGTCTGGTATTTCAGCTGTTGGTGACCAAACCAAAAGAGCCCGCTCTCCACACTGATCAGGACGACGTTCTGGTACAAAAATACAATTTTATGAACATTTGCATCATGTATCCTAGACTCTGTTATGGGAGAGTGGTAACAATTATTCTTACAAACACATCGTCTTCAGCACACCAAACATGCATTTAAAATTATACAAGTTCAGGAACATACAGAACTTACAGGTAAGTTATAAACAGGAAAGATGATCACTACCCACAACCAACAACTCTCTGAAACTATCATCACTGATAGTTTCACTGTTGGTTAACGTTTGGGTGTTCTGTGTCTGGGGTTTCTTTAATTTTCTATCTTTTCCTTTCTATGGATTATTTAACAATGCTGTCTGAATACTGACTATATAGTTTCAGATAGCAGACTGATAACTGATGAACTCAAAAGGATTTGCAAGGAAGTAGTCATGGCCATCCTAGCATTTTCTGGAAGAAGTGAGAAAAACTACCAGGTCAACCAATGTTCTGACTGAGATTTGAACCAAGCATCTTCTGAATACAGTGGAACCTCGCTTAATGAGTAATTCGCATAACGAGCAAAACAAATTGTAAAAAAATGACTCGCTTAATGAGCGACGTTTTGCATAACGAGTGACGAGAGGGGAAGTCCCGGATTGTGCGCTTGCTACATCAGTCTGTGTTTAGCACTCGTTTCGCTAGCATCTTAGTGTCGCTTGTGATCGCACACTTTTCCAAACTTGTGTTCAGACATATTATTTGTTTTTTGTGCAAAGTTTAACCCTTGCAAAAATGTCCCCAAAGAAGAAGCCGCAAAAAGACAGCCATAAGAGAATAAAAATAACCGTAGAAATGAAACGTAAAATCATTGAAAAGCGAGAACGAGGTGTGAGCGTTCCTGATCTAGCACGCACATATAATTGGTCCAAATCAACAATTTGCACTATCCTCAAGGACAAGATTAAGGAGATAGATGCTACAAAGGGAGTGACAAGAATATCTACACAACGGTTACGTATTCTCGATGATGTTGAAAGGTTGCTCCTCATATGGATAAACGAAAAGCAATTGCAAGGCGACACTATTAACGAGAACATCATTTGTGAGAAGGTGAAAGTGATTTTCGCCGACCTCGTTAAGAAGGCGCCAGGATCATCAACGGCCGAAGAAGAAGCATTTAAGGGAAGCCGTGGGTGGTTCGAGAAGTTTAAGAGAAGAACCGGCATCCACAGCATTGTAAGGCATGGAGAAGCAGCAAGTTCCGACACAAAAGCAGCGGAGAACTTCATCAGCGACTTCAAGAAGCTCGTAGATTCTGAGGGTTACCTGCCGCAACAGGTTTCTAATTGTGACGAGAAGGGTCTCTTCTGGAAAAAGATGCTGAAGTGAACCTATATAACAGCAGAGGATAATGCACTGCCCGACCATAAGCCAATGAAAGACCGTCTCACACTGCTATTTTGTGCCAATGCAAGCAGCGATATGAAAATTAAACTGCTGCTTGCTTACCATTAGAAGTGTAAAGTCCAGAAGAGTAGGCTAAATGTGATGTGGAGGTCCAACAACAAGGCTTGGGTGACACGTGACCTTTTTACTGATTGGATCAATGAAGTGTATGGTCCTTCTGTGAAAAAATATTTTCTTGAGATGAATCTGCCACTCCATGTCTTGTTTGTTATGGACAACACTCCTGCCCATCCTCCAGACCTACAAGATGACCTCCTTGAAGAATTTAAATTCTTCAAGATCCAGTTTCTGCCTCCCAACACCACTCCATTACTCCAGCCTATGGACCAGCAGGTTATTTCTAACTTTAAGAAGCTGTACCCTAAAGCACTCTTTGAGCGTTGTTTTGAGGTGACTGACAGGACCAATCTCACTCTCAGAGAGTTTTGGAAATATCACTTCCACATCATTGCCTGCCTCAAGATAATCGAAAAGGTGTGGGAAAGGGTTACCAAGAGAACCCTCACTTCTACTTGGAAGCTTTGGCCGGAGAGCGTTGTCGAATATGACTTTGAGGGGTTTGAGATAGTACCTGTGGAGCCTGTAGTCAACGAGACTGTGTCTTTGACCAAGATCATGGGGCTGGAGGTGGATAACAATGATATCGATGAGCTTGTGGAAGAACACAGCCGAGCACAGCAATGAATGAATAACAGTTCGGTGTGCAAAAACAGAACGGATTCTTGAATACATATGGAGTGACTTAGGACTACAGACGTTGAAAAAAATTGGCAGGTGGGATATACAGATACACAGACAGCAAGGTGATCTCACAAGCCTTCATTTATGTTTTTTAAAATAAGGTAAGCAAGCTAAAAATAATAGAAGGCATATGAAATCACCTTGCTGTGTGAATGTGTATCCACCCCTGACTCCTGAGCAGAGTTGTCCTCCCTATAATAATTTGGTTCAGGCTGAAGAAAAAATACTGCCTCCACCAGTTCCTACACTGTTAGCCTACTTTCTATATGTCTATCCCCCTTAATGTTGCCACACAACAGTTCAGTAAATACGTTCCCACAGCAAGAAATACACATGCAACAACTGTTGGATCCATCATCTTCTATGCTGTCCATGCCTTATCAAAGGAAAGGAAGCGATTAGTTCCTCCCCGAACTTCTTGCTTTTTACATGTTCATGTGGTGAAGCTTTTGACAAGTCACAAGACAGAACTCAGACTGCATTTGCTTATGGCTCACTTTACTTTTAATGGCATAGTTTACTAATGCAGAATATGAATTTCACGTAAAGCTTCTGAGACATAAATGCTAGCACAGTACAGAGGGATTACTAATGTCGGTATACAGGGCAGAAGAAACCAAACAGGCATGTTTGCAACATTATACCACAATTTGCAGGAAAAGTGCAAATCATTCCACCAGCACATAGTGGCCACATGCAATGTGCAGAATGAAGACAATGTGTTCCATATTACAGATTCAACTATACTGTCTCTCTCATACTGCTGGTAGGAATACGCTGAATGAGTAGCTACATCCTTTTCATGTACAACACATACAAAGGGGGAAATAATTTTTGCCTCAGTTCTGCCAATGGCCTCTACATAAAACTGTAGACAAACCTGGCTTTTTGTACCATTTGTTGTGGGCTGACGAGGCAACAGTCATAAGGAGTAACACAACCACTTTTCACAACCTACATGAAAGGACAATGCAGAATCTTCACACTTCTCCATGCTCTTCATTTCAAGAAAGATCTAGCATCAATGTCTGATGTGGAATTGTAGATGATTACATAACTGGACCATATTTACATGACATCAAATGATCTCAGAGGAATAAAGTATGCTGTTTTCCATGCAACTTTGGCATGATGGCGCTACTGCCCACTGTTCACCCCCCAAGTGTGTAACTGGCTGAACGACCACTTTCTAAGTATGTGAACTTGCCATGAGTTTCAATCACCTGACCTCCTCGTTCTCCTGATCTCAATCTACTTGATATTCATTTATGGCAATGTATCAAAGAAAAGTTTATGCTATGAAATACAAGATCGCGAGTGACAACATGATCAATCACATCCTGCTAACTGCAACAGACATTAGGGGCCAACCTTGGGGTTTATGAATCCAGAAGGTTCATTATCACACTGGGTAGGATTCTCACAGTGGTAACTATGAAAAGCAATATCTTCTGGGTTGTAACACCACACAGCATGGTCCATCCTGCCTCAGTGGACTTCTACTGCACTACATGCATTCACAACACAGAAGACTGCACTCTTTGTTCATTATCACGTTCACAAGAGCTCACCAATGATCCCTATCCTAGCCAGATTAATCCATTCGACACCCTCCTATTTAACATTATTCTGGCATCTATGTCTAGTTCTTCCGATAATTTTGCCTGTAGCATTGTATGGGTGTGACACTTGGTCTATGCCATTAAGGGAAGAACACAGACTGAGGGTGTACAATAACAGGGTGCTGAGAAGAACATGTGAACCAAAGAGGGGTGAAATAATAGGGGCTGGAGAAAACTGAATAACGAGGAGCTTCATAACTTGTACTCTTTGTAATGTATATTTGAAATGATCAAGTCAAGGATGATGCGATGGGCTGTGCATGTAGTATTTCAAACACAATGAAAATGCTGTACTACTTCCCTCCTAATTGAATCGAGGGCATTCCTGAAGTCTATAATAGCTGAAATACTGTCCTATTCTACTTCAATTTTCTTTCTAGTAAATGACAAATGCAAAAAAAAAAAAAAATATGATCAGCAGTTGATCTGTTACATCAAAATCCTTACAGAGGATCCCCAATTATTTCATCTACTTAAGGTGTTAACCTTGATAGAAGTAGTGTTGCATAATGAGAAGAGAGACAAAGACACTGAAGTGTGAATATTAATATATCTATGAAGTTGCACAAAGAAGGCTAGGAGTGATAATAATTATATCCTTCATCAATTACTACAGTTTTATAACCTTTCTTGTAAACAGGTACAATAGGCTCCTTCCACTTCTGAGGTATGTCTCTCCCATTCCACATATAATTTATGAAGGGTACAATCTGATGGGATATAATGCCATGTAGTCCGGACTATGCAGCATTACATCCCAGAAGACAGACCTCTTCATAACCACCGCATTGAGAACCTCAAATCCTACACAATTTATGAGTTCGTGGGTCTCTGAATGCAACATTTCACCTCCAGCTTGAACTAATTCTGCAAAAAATTTTACCAACACCTGGCCATTTATATCTTCTCAGCTTCTCAATAGCAGTCTCAGACTCAAAAGGATGAGGCTCAAATGCTAATCACACAGCTTTGGTATTTCTGCCTGGCTACCAAAGTTAACTCCAAATTTATTCAATAGCTGACAGAAGTAATTCTTCTACCTATTCAAAACATTGTGGGAATCGGCACACCACGCTCATCCTTTAACAGTTAAGTTCTAGTTTGGTAAACTTTCTTAAGATCATTTATGCTTCTACACGATTCTTTAAGAGGCATGCGGTAGCTTGGTTGAGGTACTATATTACAAGCTGGAAGGAAATTCAAGTCCCAATGAGGTGGATTTTTTCAATTTACCTAATCCTTTGAACCTCACTATGGCCGTGGGGTCAACGCAGCCTCTGACAGAAGTGAGTACCAAGAATCTTGCTTGGGGGGCAGCTGGCACATAAGGCTGACAACCTCACAGGCCTCTGTGAGACAAATGTCTAGAGAAAATGTGAGAACCTCGATGTCTCACAACCCTATTGGCCTTCACAGCCTGTTTCAGGGACAGCCTCACCTAACCTTTCTTACACAATTTTTACTGTTCTTTTTCTTAATTACTAGTGTCACAGTCAGTTCCCTTCAAAGGTCAGCCATGAAGTATAGTTGAATGTGAACGCCTTTCTATCAGAATGTGATAAATTTGTTTGTCTTTTGATCAAGAGATATCCAAGTTAATTTATGAATGTTGTAATGTGGGAGCACTGTACTCTTGACAATTACATTTTTTATATGGCAAAGTTTACTACTCCAACACCATTAACCATTACCAATTTCATGTAAACTCTCATTCCAAAATTTTCGGTTTGAAAATATCTTACCTACTCATGTTGGAAGCATAGTGTTCTAAAAAAATATACAGGTACCTGCCATGAAACTAGTCAAACAAATGCTCTAGTTCCTCACAAAAGCCACGTTATGCGTCACCTATTGGTACTGTATAAGACATACTGTCATAAATTCTACTTTCTTAACTGCTGATACAGTTCCCTTATGTATGAAAAAGTCAGTCTCTTAAGTGATGTTTAGCATTCCCGTTTATATAATTGACTATGGTTCAGTACCAGCCTTGTCCCATCCGATCTTCTGTACACTCACTATCTTGTACTTTGCTAATTCTGTTTTCAATGGAGATTCCCATTTCTCCAAGTTCAATGTCTCATGTTCATTTTTTGTTCCTTATGGTGCTCCAAATAATCCATCCAAGTCCAAGGCCCCGTGTAACATGCTGATTTTTATGTGAGTTTTTAGCCCCACGTCCAATCCTCAAGCTGAAGCATAAGACCTTGCCATCAATCCACAACTGACACTACCCTCCAATATTTGGAGGCCATTTCCTCCATCCACAGCCTAAGGACACTTAAAATCCAAACTAAAAGGAGTCACAACTTCAGAATCTTTGCTTTTCATTCATTGTTAATTAAAAGTAATGCATAATTGAATGCATATATTGATGTACAATTATTTAATTCTTCTACAAAGTGATGTAAACCCATAACTCAACAAGGATGACAAATCTAACACTTTATTTTCATTTTCAGCATCTCAACAACCTACTAATGTCCCTCCATCACCCTGCATAATTACATCACAAGATGACAACCGTGTCTTATGACAATGCCAACAAGATGTATCATTTACACAGTGAGCTATAATATAATACATACCTGACAACGGTATCAGCTCTGGCACAACAGCTTGATAGTCCCTTCCAACTCTTATCTTTTCTTCTGGAACAATGTGAAATCCATATACTAGGCAGGGAACTTTACTAATGTTCTGTATTATGACTGTACGTCAAAAATGGGAAAGGCAAAAAATAAATAAGTAGAAGATGGAGGCTAAAAGAACAAAGGTAATGTTACACTGAAGAAGAGAACCTATAATTACACCGAGCACTTTTTCCCTCCCTAAAATCATGATTGCCAGTATGCATACTGGCTGAAAGAACACATGTGACACTCACAATCAACACACAAAGAAAGTGAAAATTCTGCTATTGAAACATTTCAGAGGTCAAATTTCTCATCTTAACGTTCTACCTTTAAGCAGTTTTATTACAAAAGCAATGAATACAGAATCTTTAAATATATAATTCCGGCGTTGGGTTCAACAAAGTAGTGGTTGGTTCTGCAAAAAGAATTGAAAAAAAAAAAAAGTAAAATTTCAACAGAAACCCATAGAATACATATTTATGTTAATTGCACAATATTTTATGCCTTACAAAAACTAAAATTTTCACCACAGTTCACACTTAATGACTTGTACCTTTAGGGGATACCATGAACTGGAAAAATGCCTTTGCCCATATTTTTTCACGGTAATTTCGACAAATGATACTGAATTCAATCAATATTTCGTCAATGAATGTATTTTATTATAATAAGCAGTTAATACGTGTTGTTTAATCACTTATATGAAATATGTACGATAAATTATACAGATCAATTAAATTAAATTTTTCCACATTTACAAGCCTGAAAGCGTGTAATACGCTATACACTATAGAAGAAACAAACATATACGACAGCCGTAAGTCGGGTACACTCGTTTTCACCACTGTTAACGGAACATGCCAAAATACGTACGTTTCGCTATTTTGAAATATTATACTTACCACCTTCCTCTTCGCTACTAGAATCGGATGCATGACCATTTGGGCTTGGTCCTCTAGATCTCCGACCATTTCTAACATTATCTGAATTTCTTTCCGCTAGAACCATAGCTGATTAGCCACTATATTAAATTTTATTGAAACAGTTTATTCTAAAAATGCCAGCAATAAAATTCTTCCTTCCAGTCATACAGCAACTTGAAGCACTGCTAAACTCTGATAATTTCTCTCCTTCATAGCACCGTATAGCGTACAAGGCTGTTTTCTCTTGGTGCTGCTTATATTCGTAGTGATGATCTTCTGGTACGCTAAATGTAAAATTGTCCCTGTACTTAGCAAATTAGGCACTAAGCCATGAAGATATAGATGGGGAGTGGTTGTACAGAGGACCATGAATAGTCTTCGCTCGCCCGAACGCTGGGATCGTGGGTTCGAATCCCACTCAAGGAATGGATGTCCATGTGCGTTTATTCTGTGTCTGTGCTGTTGCGCCTGTAGGTAGCGGCCTTGCTACGGGCTGATCCCCCGTCCAAGGATTCCTACCGACTGTGTATAGGACTAAGAAACTGAAAGAACTATCAAGGTCCAACAAAGGGCTGTAGAACCATAGATAGAGGGCTGTATAGAGGATGCTCTGCTGGTATATTTAATTACTCAATGGCCAAAATTAAATGTTATAACTTTGCTTTTATAACTGGCACCTTTAACAACCTTTGTACACTTCACTTAGATAATCTATAAATTTTAACGTAATCATTCGTTTAGACTCATGTTTCGGAACGCTAACTATAAGGCAATCAAGTCATAAACAAATGCACGTGTTAGTCGATCGCCCTCATAAGTTAATTGCAGGATCATTTAAAATCTAAAATTGTGGAATTAAAAAACAAGTATCTACGTTTTAGTTGCATAAATAATATTTGTACGTTTTCAAGTAACATGATGACGATATATTTGTGTAAATACAGCGACACTACAATACACTTGCCTGTACTGAATAAAAAGAATGGATTCGTAATTTCATAGTAAATCTAAAGAAACTTCTCACCTTACTGATAGTCTCTTCCAAAAACGAGCTTTCGCCAACTGTCATGTCCGGCATGTCAGTATAGGAAATGAGAGTCTACATGCAAAGCCTCCACGTTACATAACATTTCCGGCCATTGGACACTGTCAAAAGCCACGGCAAAGAAATAGCAGGGGGCTATAAGTCGAGCAGTCGAAGAGGAAGGAAGAAAGTGTATACGACCTGATGATTTGGTCGATAATGTGTAAATAACAATCATAGACATTGGTGAGGAAACTTTCAACAGAGATGTGATTCTAGTTAAGACGACTTGGAAAGAATCTATCTGATATCTGAGAACGATTGAATTTCTTAATACTGTAAGTTGAGAGTTAATTTTTTATATTATAATACTTCCGTGCTAAAAAGCTGAAAACATTTGGCCGATAGTTAGAGATGTAATTACGTCATAGCAGTCACATGTTTATTCGAAACTAACTGCACTACTATTTTTAGGTGGAAGGAATTGATACGAGTTAGGAAACAAACCAGTGAAAGATTGAGGGGAAGAATACAAGTGTACTGGTTATGTCAGGCTGAAACCACCAGTGAATGTACTATAGAACCTTCATTGCGAACTGGGTGGAAAAAAAGGTCGTTTGAAACGCATTTAAGTCTAAGATACGTATTGGAAGCAAAATGTCTTCAAATAGTGTATTTCTAGTATTTTTTTTCATTGGCGCTACAGCCCTCATTTGGGCCTAGGCCTACCTCCATGAAACTGTTCGTTCACTTCGATTTACTAGAAATTAGATATCCGGTAGGACTCCTTGGGCGGGTGATCAGCTAGTCGCAAGACCTCTACCTGTACACAAACACAGAAAAACTCACACAAACATCAATGCCCTGAGTGGATTCGAACCCACGATCCTGGCTTCCGAGCGAGCGAAGACAGTGCATGCCTTAGACCGCTCGGCTACCGTGACCGGCCTAGTAAAATTATATACATATATATTTAAACATAGAGAATAATGGCAAAAATTAAGGAGCCCCAATGTAGAATCTGAAGTTCTCATATTTGTAATGTATAATTTCGTCTTCTACCTGTTGGCTATCAACGTGGGTATATGTCATAATATCACTGCAGAGAATTGCTTTGTCACTCTATACAGTAATTTAGTTCTAAGGCAATCGATGATTAGTTTTCTTTCTCCCTTTACTTGGTCATTTAACAAATGTGGAGCAGTTGGTGGAATGAAGATTGGCAGGAGAAACTGAAGTACTCGAAGAAAAACCTTCCGTACCAATTTTCTTTGATGAGTGTACTAGCATTGGCTGGCTATGATTTACTTGAATAGGTAAAGTTGTCCCTGTACTTAACTGATCAAACATTATGCCAAAAAGATATATGGGGAGTGAATGTATAGATCCAGGTATTCTTGACCTCGGCACCACTTTGAAATACGTGGTATGCTCCACACCCCTGCCGCTTTATACCCGGGGAAAGAACCCCCGATACCGACTGGATAGNGGGGGGGGGGTACAGAACCAGTCTTATGGTTTACATACCGTCGTTAAATAATCCATTATTCTTACTACTGTTCGATATTGTGATATATAGGCGCTTCTGGGAAACGAATTGGCAAACATATTGCCGCGAAGATACGATTCTTGAACACAAACTATCGCTGAGTGTTAAATAAACGTGTCCATCGAAACCAGAGCGTTGCTGCGAAATTAACACACGTTTCTATGGAGTTGGATTCCTAGAGACCAACTCAGCACAAAAAACGTTTCCGTGTAATGTAAACAAATATTCCAGAAACTTTTCCGTTTAAACGAACAAGCAACAAACATTTTCCTGGGTTACCGCGGCTGTGCAGATGGAATCGCGTTAATCCCGTGTGGAAATGGGGGCCGATTAACTCCACCGTAACCCTTCGAATCGTAGGAGGCGACGGAACGGGAAGTCAAGAACCTGAGAGAGTTAAATATGGTCACGAGCCCACGGTACTCGGACCTGAGAATAACTGCGCTGGCGAGGGTCAGCAGCATATGTAAGCCACAGACCCGTCCTCTCGTCAGAGAGAGCGCCCCGCATCAACAAACCCGCAACTGTCCGACAGTAATAAAAATCTTGTCGTAAGACCCAGATGGGTGCTTTATTCCAAGACAGGCAGACCGACTGACCGTCGGTCGTAACAGACTCAGATTCAGACTCAGGAATGCATTCACTCGTAATTCATTCGTAAAACACGTGACAACTCGTTAAATAAACAGGAGTTAATTTATAAATGAGACCCAAGAACTAATTCATTCGTAAGGTAACTCTGAATCAAGTCAGCCATATTAGAAGACAGAAGCCAAGAGACGACAGTAGAAGACAGACCAGATGATAAGACAATCGTCGTTCAAGTCAGTCGTGGTTCAGATACGCACAGGTCAGATCAGAATTGAGCTGAAGACGTACTGTGCGTTATTGCAAATTGATTGTGAGTAAGAGTGAATGTAAAGAAGGTGTTAATGCAGCCAGTCATCCAATCCAGAACCCATCATTATTAGTCACTATCATAAACACGTGACAGTAGTGTCAGTGATGGTAGGCACCTAAGGTAGTATTCTCATCTTCATTTAGCTATTCTAATTCCGTGCTGTGATAAAACTTTTCTGTAGCAGATATAGAGTACAATTATGCATTCCCGGGAGAATTTTCAAATTCGAGACGCATAGTGACGTAAGATGTTACTCTGTACTCTACAGTCCAAGCGACTCTTCCAACAGAACACATTCCAATATAACGTAACAATAATGACGTAATATGACGTTTCCTACGGCGTTAGGAATGCGATAGAATGCAAGAATGTCTCTCTATATGTCTTAATTCTATGTAGACTTCATAATACGTACGCATATAGTGTATGAACAACCATCGACTTTGAACTATAAATATTTTAGAGGAAAGCAATATGCATGTGGTTACGCAGTAAATTTGAGAATATGGAAACTATATGGAAAATAGAAGAAAATTGTGTTTCGTATTTCAATTACAGATGGCGGTGGCGTCAGTAATCTATTAGTCGTCGGAGAGGACGGTAGTGCTCCATAAAATTTGCGTGGGTATTGGAGTGAAATAGGAGTAGAAAGTAATAGACTTTCACTTATTATGTATAACAGTATGTTTGAATATTAGTTATCTCGGCCCTTTCAGTATATTCTTGCTTTTGCAGCTAATGTCTCATGGTGGCATAAATCGTGTTCCGTACAAAACAAAATGTTAATGGGCTCATATGCCCAAGCAGCGTCAAGTACCTTTGTAGTGCATTACATTACGGAATTTGTGTATGTTAACAATTGAAGACAAGTGATTTATTTTCGCAGATGATGACAACTAAAAGAATATAGAGTAGTAGGTCACAGAGCCTTGCAGCTTTCATTCTTGCTACTGTGACCCAAATCTAGGAGAATGAGAGTAGTTGCACTCATTAGTGGTGGAAAAGATAGTTGTTACAACATGGTCCAGTGTGTTGCTGCTGGCCATGAAATTGTAGCCTTGGCAAATCTCCGACCAGAAAATAAAGGCATGTTTTTCAATGCTACTTCAGTACATAAGTCATACAGAAATGATTTTTGCAAAACAATAAATGGACTTTATTCGTAAGTTAATAATTGTTATGTTAAGAAAGTTTGTCCAATCTTTTATTATAAGCAGATGAATTAGACAGCTACATGTACCAGACAGTGGGCCATCAAGGGATTGAGCTGTATGCAGAAGCAATGGGTTTGCCATTATTTCAACAGCCAACCCAAGGCGTTGCTTTACTTCAAGAACAAGTTTACACTCCTACACCAGAAGATGAAGTGGAGGATTTATTTCAGCTGCTCAAGACAGTTAAAGTAAGGCATTTATTCTAAATTTGTTATGACAGAAGGATTTTCAAGTGTGTGTATCTCATGTCATATACTGAAGATGTTTTGTGTCAGGCTTACTGTAATTCTCCTGTAACGATATTAGTAGGAAGTATTCGGTTGGTCTACTGGTAATGTACTGTGTGAAATGTAGTGTTGTTTGGTTTGGCTGAGTTGGGGATGAATGATAGCATATGCCGAATTTTGGTTAGTAATATGTGCCTTTGGCATGTACTGTCTTCACTTGCTTGGAAACCGGGATTGTGGGTTCGAATCCCACTCAGGGCATGGATGTTTAGTTTGTGTGTGCGCATTTTTCTGTGTTTGTGTACAGGTATTTTTTTACTAGAATACTTCAGCAGGAATATTTCTGTGGGATGTCAATGTTGCTTGGACAACCACTTGAATCTGTAACCATATTGTTCACTGCACTTAGAGCGGGCAGCTTGCCTGAAGGGTACTGGTAGCGACTGCTTCCATAGCAGCCAGCTCAGCCCAGTGGCGACGGTGAAAATTTTCTGGCCCTGAAGAGGGCCGGTTGCACAGTTGAGTCTTCCTTGTAGTGGCCCGATGTCCTTCTCCAGCTGCGGCAGTGAGTTGGACTAGCTAGTGTGCAGTGATGCATGCGCCGGTAGAATCAGCAGCCTGTGGTGCATACACTGGCAGAGTCCACTGTCTCGGTGCTGTTACTGGAGAGTTACAGCAGCGACTGCTTCATGATGTCAGCATAGCTATGATAGCTGTGGTCGGTGGACTGTAGAAGACTGATGGTTGCCAGTTTTGAGCCCTGCATTTTTATGCCATTACCGCTGGGTGGAGCTAGTGATGCAGCTGTGATTATGAGCACTGATTGGCTAGTGCTTGTGTTGATCTCCAGAGGGCTAGACAGCGAGTGCTGTGTAAATATAGTTTCGGTTTCTTATGAGGTAGGAGTTTTATGTTGTCTGCTAGACTGGTGAAGCTGTATGTTGGAATGTTAGAGGTTCCCACATCACTCCCCCCTCACGGAAATTGATGCTCATATGTTAGGCAAGCGGGGAAATGGATGTGGCACCTGGAGTGTGTAGTTCTTGTAGGGTTGTAGGGGACTGTGGTGGCATGGCAGGTGGTCCAATGGTCAGGGTTGCTTGCGGCTGGTGGGTTGATGCTGTTCCCGCTGTCGGTCTCTTTTAGGATGTAGGCTGGCTTGACCCTGTCAGCTGACACAGTGACATGCCTCCCGCACACGAGGAGTTGCAACGTCCTCTCTCTCCGTGACAGGACCTGGTAAGGGCCGCTGTATGCGGGCTCCAAAGCTCAGTGTGTTGAGTCCTGCCAAAGGAAGACGTGGGTGCACTTTTCAAGGTCACTGTGTACAAAAGTAGCTGGGGAGTCATAGCGTGCTACTGCAACTGGTTGGAGGCGGGTTATATGCTGGCGGAGCTCAGTGATGAGGTGTGCTGAATCTGTGTGGCTGGTAGCTGGAGTTAGTATGTTGTCTGCTAGACTGGCAAAGCTGCATGTTAGAATGTGGGAGGTTCCCACAGTTCCAAAGAAATATACAGTTGGCCAGAAATTACTTTGAAGTTTCTGACCATCAGTTTCTTTTTGGTAATTGTTGTCTAACAAATAATATTTCATTTAATGTTGATTGCATATGACGTATTAAATTTTACATATGAACTCCAGTAGTTTGTTAGTTACCTCCATCAAACCAAAAGCTAAAGAATACTTTCCACTTACCATGTTGTTATTTTATTTTCAACAAAAAATTATCATCACAAAAGTTACCTATATTCTGAAATTGTATTACTGTACATGATCTTAGGAACTTGAATTAAGTGGCTTTAATGTTGGCTGTAACACCATAAGCTCATTCAACTGCCATATTATTATTACTGGTTGTATGAATATGAAAGGTATGATGGTGGCGTCACCTCCATGGACATGACATTCATTCAACTGGCATGGAAGTTGAAAGTGGGAACATGAAGATGGCATAGTGATACCATAAGCCTACTTTTTATCTTGACACTTTATGGACCGGACGCATGATATCATGCTTTTCGCTTTTAAACATGGCGGACCGGTCGCATGATATCATGATTTTAGGACACGTTAGGTTGTAACACACTATACCTTGCTCTGGTGCCACACAGCTGCAATGAATACTGCGTAATAAATCTTCAGAATGTATGCTAGGTATTCAGTAACTTGACCTGGCTGGCTAAGTAAGGTCCCTACTCCAAAAGAAATTAAACTTTGCCCCTTCCAGCTGTTTATGTACCAGGCAGGAAGTTAGTAGAGGGGAATGTGTTTCAAGGACAAAAGCGGCAAAGCGATCTCTCTGACTTGTTTTCTGATGAGCTATCTGACATGCCTTGTGGAGGAGTAGTGATTAATGACTCAGACAGTGGAAGTGACAGGAGTCAACAAAGAATTGTGGCCACAGATAATAAAAGTGAAAGTTGCCTTGTGGCTTATAAATTGTACCATTTTCAATTCATTTTTGGTTTACAAAAATCTAAACCCTGATTCAAAATTGAAATACAGAGCATTTCTGATGAATGTGGTAAAGGCTTGGGCTACAGACCAGATGGTGGCGGCAGAACCAGAGTCAGACAGACTTAGTGTGACCTAGACCATCAACTCCAACCCCACGCAGGCCTCATGTGGACACCCCTGGGTGACTCTCGGTAGGGGGGGGTGGTGATATGTGGAAACATACCCTCCTGAAAATAGTGAAGAGTGAACATTCCAAGGGGAAGCATCCTTCTAGACAGTGCCATGTTTGAGCAGTTCACAAAAAATGGACTGTGACTCTACATTTGCAACTGTGTAATGCCACTTCACAAAGGGGAATGTTTCCAGAAATATCACACTCTCAAGCACTTCTATGAGCAATGATAAGTGTTCTCCAAAAATTTTAGTTCATAAAATTAATTAGGAGATTTTTATATTAATTTTTAAAGTGAACAGTGCACGAGTTAGGGTAGTAGGTATAAAAATGCTGGTCCCCAGAGTGATTTAAATATTTAAATCGCAGGTCTGCGAAGTGTTAAGGAAGAAAATAAGCCAAAAATTTGTATTTTAACATTATGATACTGATTAAATGAATTGTGGTTCTTTACATATTTATGGTATAACTTTTTTGGGGGTGTAGATTAGTCTGTTGAATGATGTAGCGATGACTGTTGAAAATGACTTCATGTATATCCACAAACATTCACATGCTGACTTATATTTATAAATTAAAAATATAACATATTTAGATTTTTTTGGTAGTTTGATGGATTTTGATTAAGAGCATTATGGGTTCTGAAGGCGGATTGATAAGTTCCTTGGCATGTTTTGTTTAAGGATATGCATAATGAATTCTATAAATTCTGAGGACATAGTACTTAGGAGAATATTTTAACCCAAGAGAGAGGAAGTAACAGGACAATGGAAAGTACTGCATAATGAGGAGATTCATAATTTTTACTCTCCACATAGTATTTTTAATGTGATCAAATCAATGAAGACTAGGTGGATGGGTATGTAGCTTGCATAGTGGGGATGAGAAGTGTTTATAGAGTTTTGTCAGAAAAGCTGAAGTCATAGGATGTGTGAGTTAAAATGAATATTGATTAAGCAGGATAGGAAGATGTGGATTGCATTCTTTGGCTCAGGGTAATGACCAGTGGCAGGTTTTTGTGAATACAGTAATGAACCTTTGGAATTCATAAAAGGCAGGGAGTACTTTGAGTAGCTTAGTGACCCTTAGCTTCTTAAGATGGACTCTACTTCCTAGAGTTAAATAACTATTTAATAAATTTTAATCAGAGACTAGTTGACACACTCTAAGTTGTTGCCAGGGAATTCCAAACATTGAAGCCTTCTTGGGCAGTTAGCCACAGAAGTCCACATTGGGACTGGATGCCACTGACTTCCTGGCTCCACCCACTTTTACCTCAGCATTGTGTGCTGTGACAGCTCTGTAGATGTAAATTCAGTGTGCAGTTATATCTGGTATCATGAACACTTGATGATGGAGACAGAGATGGTCTTCGAAATGCATACTGATTCCGTTTTCACCTGGCTGGTTGACTGAGAAGACTTCATTGCATACAACTACTGCAAATGTTTTAAATCATTCTGAGAAGAAAGACATATTTTGGCTCCTTACATTAATGAGAAATACGTTAAAGTATTATGCCTTTCAATAATTGTATGTCTGAAACTGATTATGGTATGAAACGAGTGATGGTTATAAAAACAGGAGATTAATTACAGAATTTTGAACGACTGTGCAGGGATAGGAATGAAAGTTTATGAGATTCATAAAACTAATGAAGAGTGTTAAGTCTTAGATTATGGATTGTCAGAGGAAAAGGTGATTTTCTTTGTTTTATATCTGATTTGGGATAATGGGTTTCCACTATGTTTATTCTCAGAAGCCAAATGCAGAATGTTGTGTTGCCATATTGGCATGTTGAATACAGTTTGTTAGGTAATGTTAACTGCTCTCAGATATGCTGTCCATTAATCTTTATTGTCAGAGAATATGGTAATTTTAAATATCCTATTACTACAGGGCTTGCAGCCAGATTTTTAAGATTTTTTAGGTTATTTAATGTCACTGTTAGTATTGAGACTATATAGTAATGGTAAGATGAATAAAGAATACACAGCAATTAAATTATGGGTAATGGTACAGACAGTCCTTGCTTTACAAAAGATTCACACTAGAATTTTGTTGTTTGTACCCTATTAAATCATGGCTGCTGATAAGAGGAAACATTCCGTAAATAGTGATGGTGCTACCAAAAAAACATTCTAGGAAGCCTATGACGTTGGAAATGAAGGCTTAAATAATATATCTTAGTGATCATAGAATGCAAACTTGTGATATCTACCTGAATTTTAATTTATGGGCATCAGCTGTGGTTACTCTCTTGATATATTAAGGACTCTTGAGATAGTAAAGCAAGCTTGTTTGTTTGTTATCTGCAGTGATGCAAAAATATTGACTTAATGCTGAAATGGAAAACACTCTTATTGTCTGGGTGCATAATCAGATTTGGCTCATTTTAGGCAATGACCCTGGCCACCTCCATTCATTGCTGACATCAGCCCTTACAACAGGGTTGTTTTTCTGCCATGAAACACCACATCTTTACTGCAACCAATGGATCAGGATGTGAATTGAATTATTTAAGGTCTACTATTTTGGCTTCATGTTTGCTAAGACAATCAGAGTGACAGGGCATGAAGGAGGTCCAACCCTTAAGGAATTTGGAAGCTATTTAAAATTTTTGGCCATTAAGATCATTAGTGAGGCCTGGAAGGAGGTCAGAGAATCCGGTGTTTGATAGAGTTTGTGCCCAGAATTCAGTAGGTATTCGGAAAGATTTGATGTTCCTGTAGAAGATGTCACTGCCAAGTGTTGAAATGGACAGTCAACTAGAGCTTGGGGTTTCAGCTAACAGCAAGACAATCCCATTCTCAGGAACTATGTCATTTAGAGGAACATGAGAAGAAAGATAAAGTGGCCAACATTTCACATAGCCCATCTCCACCAAGCATTACAGACAAGCAATTGAATGAGGTATTTAGTGTCTACAGGGTGCAGTGACAAGATGATGTCAACTTTATTCACAGTTCCAGACTTAATGATGCCTTGAGGAAGGACTGTGCTTGCTATATGGAGTTCTGCAGGGGGAAGAAGGTAGCAATCCAAAGTTCTTGGAGAGTTTCTTTAAGGAAGATGGACCTTCCATATCAGAATCCACCTCCAAAGCCCTTCCAACTCTCCATGCAGTATGGTGATTAGAAGTATGCATTAGGGAACACAAATACAGTCTGACATAAGGTCTGCTCGAAAAATCAAAATTAGGCCAACATGCATATGAAGGAGGCCACAGAATATGTTTGAAAGAAGCTAAGGTCTTGTACATTGAACTAACACCACCGACAGGGAATACAGTGAATCAGCCCACATATTTCTGGTAGCTCATGCAATTAGTCAGCCCAGCTTGGACGTCTCTTCCCTCTGGACTCCCATTATTGAAGTAGAAGTCAGGAAACTACAACTCCATTCAGTTTGGATTATATGAGAGAGTTCTGTTATTATGTTGGTGCTATACAGGTGCCTCCGCCGGTCACGGTAGCCGAGCGGTCTAAGGCATGTACTGTCTTCTCTTGCTCGGAAGCCGGGATCGTGGGTTCGAATCCCACTTAGGGCTTGGATGTTTGTGTGCGTTTTTCTGTGTTTGTCTACAGGTAGAGGCCTTGCGACGAGCTGATCACTCGCCCAAGGAGTCCTACCAAATGTGTAAGATCTAGAAAAACCGAAGTGAACGGAGTTCATGGAGGTAGGCCTAGGCCCACTGGGGCTGTAGTGCCAAGGAAAAAAAAAATACAGGTGCCTCATTTAAATGCTATTTTTATTTTGTTTGGTCATGTTTGGTATTTAGAAATTTTTTGTTTGCTTGAATTTTAATGTTTTATGCTTGATGGGTCTATATGTATATCTGTTTTTGTCTCATCTGTGTTTTTAATGGTTGATAGACCATGTCCTTTCATTGACTTATAATATTTTCTTTTAGAATGTGACTCTTTAGTTTCAGCTTCTATTTAGTCTGCCTCTGATTTTGTGGACTTGGGCCATTACATTATACATGGCCACAGGTGCAAGGCCTTATCCTGAGGAGACTCGTACTGAATATTATGGGTTTCCTCATTTAATAACATTATATTTTAATTTATGCCAGAATCTTCTACCCTGTAACTTAAAAGGATGGTGCCTAATCCCATTTATTTTCCTATAAAGACTATGTCTGCTTCAGCTGTGTGTTGCACTTTGCATACATATTGTGACGTGGACGGCACAACGCTCGGTAAACACCCCCTCCAATGGTGAAGTAACAGCATTGGAGCAACTGCCGCTGCTACAGTAACAGGCCAGCCAACACCACCCCCTCCCCCGCGGTGACATAACAGCACTTCCCACAGTGATGGAACAGGGGACACCACAGTTACTACACAGCAATAAACAACTCTTGGCAGCGTTCCCCAGCAACGCCTTTAAACACGACATTACGCAACAGTGGTAGCTATCACGTAATGCGTTTTCAGTGCAGAAGCTACATAACGGGAGAATTACCAGAGTAACCAGTCAGTTGCAGTCTAGCATTCGCCGGAGTGAATGGAAGCAGAAGACGTAATTGTGATACTGCATATGGCAGTAGTGGTGTAATTGTGAATTGTGTAATTGTGAGAGCGAGTGTTCAATAAATTCGCTATATTCGATATGGCTTAAAGTTATTTATCGCGTGACATATACCCAACACGTGACAATATTTATAATTTTTTTCTTCTTATCTGGTCATTGATTGATTGATTTATTGATTCAGGATACTGTATCATCTACAAAAGTTGTTGGATTTCAAGTTCTCACAATGGTGACCATGAAGAGGAGTGTTGTCCGGTTTGTAATGTTGTACAGTCCAGTACAAGTGCACTGGTGTTTTAGAGGAATGCACTGCATCTGTCTAAGCAGTGCTTCGCTTGCCACCTGCTTCTTGCTGGTACCTTGCGTGGTTTACTCATCAACCCTGAAGATGGAGGCAGTGTGTTCCTCCCAGACATCCTTGAACTTCTATCAGACTTTATGGTATCACTTTCCAGAAGATAATATTCTTCACTTGCAAAAATTGCCATTCAGTTGTTTTGAATGGTGAATTTAAAAAAATGTCAGAAGAAATGGCCAGACATTCTTCTGTTTACTATCTCAGCAGTTACCCAAGATTATGAAGGTCATAAAAGTCCTCAGCCAGCATAGGCAGTATCTTCCCAACTTGGGTTTGTCGTGAATATAACCCGGATGCATTACTTTTGGCCTAACCTGTTTGGTAACTTATCTGTTGGTATCCCAGTTTCAAACATTGTTATCTGCATGAATATTCAGTATTCTGAGACTGTCAACATGTAAAAGATACGAGTGAGCCTGATGATATATTCAGTATATGATATGTGATCCTATACAAATTACTACAGATAAGATACTGATTTAACACTTTATTTGATACGTATGTGGTACATTTGAACAAATAGATTCTGTAATGAATTCATATTCCAATTAAATGATTCTTCCCAGTCTTCCTTGTTATTGAAATTCCATGGTTTATCATTTCCAGCTTACTCATTTAGATGTGTGTCAAAACATATATTTTTATAGACGTCCTATAATGTGTAAATGTAAGAAAATTATTACAGTATGTGTGTATGCTGTATCTTCTTACATGGAATTTTAGATAATTGACAAGTTTTGCAAATATCTGCCTTATTTAGCAACTCTTGTTTTAAGCTCTCTCTTTTCCAGAGACAGCAAATAATGCAGATATGCAAGTTCTTGAAACCTAAGTAATATTCATGTTTGGTTCAAGTACTGTTTTTTTTTGGGGGGGGGGTGAGGTTTGGGATCTTACGTCCTCATCAACTTGCATTTGCCTACTATCTGTGCAGTCATTAATTGAAAATGTACAGAGGAATGTGGAAATTATTTTTTAAATTTGTTCTGGTGTAAGTGAGCCAACAAGTAATTCTATTTTGTTACGAAGCAGATTGGATGCAACTGTTGTATTCTTTTTAATCCAACTGAGATAACCTCTCAGAAATTACAAATATTATGTTTCTGGGCATTATCTATCATCTGTTTTTATTTAAAACACAACGTTTTGGAGACTGAATTCTGAACACAACCACACTGAATACAGTCTCTGAAACACTATGTTTTAAATAAAAACAGGCTGATTGGTAATGTCCAGAAACATAATATTTGTGTTAATGTACCAATGTCAATAACTTAGATCTTTTTCTCAGGAATTAGTTTGACTCCATAATAGTAATTCCTTTGGGTTTCTGCAAATGTTAAGGCCAATTTTGTCCTCAGTTTGAAAAGTTGTTTTAATGTAAAATATGATGCATTGAGAGTTTACCACTTGAAAGATGCATTTGTTGATTTATTGTAAGGATGTCAGTTAAGATTTGGTCTTGCTAAATCAAACAGGATGAAATCGATGTGGATGCTGTGGCCGTCGGAGCCATTTTATCTGATTACCAACGAATCAGGGTTGAAAATGTGTAAGTATATTTTATTAAAGGAAACATATTTTATATTGATTCCTTCTTTGTAAACAGTAATTCTTGGACTTCAATTATTAAGATCATCTCTTGGAAGTAAGAGAGAATTTTATATTCCCTGTTCTTCATATTGTGAATAGTAGAAGCAGTAATTTGTTTATGTGTATAGAATGTTTATCTTTCAGAAATTTTGTTAGTTTGTTCCATCTGGTTTGAGAATTTATGATATAAGGAATACTTATGTTTTGAAATAAAAGCATGCTATCATGATTAGCTCTCATTAGAGGGACTTATGTTGTAATTAATAATTATTACTTCACAGATTTAAGTATTAGTCATGTAAAACACTTAAGACACTTTAGATCAGTTAGTCACTCTAAAGAGGTAAGATTCCTGTTTGAAATAATACTTGTTTAAATGAGTTATGAATATTAAATTTACACAACTTTTGAGATTACAAATTACAGAGATTATTTTATATACTTCTGTCTGTGTGGTACTGTTCAGATGTGCTCGTCTTGGCCTTGTGGCATTGGCCTACTTGTGGCGTCGTGACCAAGGAGAATTACTACAAGAAATGATAGACTGTCATATTGATGCAATTGTCATCAAAGTTGCAGCATTGGGACTTGATCCTTCAAAGCATCTTGGGATGACAATAGCTGATCTTCAACCACATATCTTGAAGATGGTAAATTATACATTCCATTACCTATGAATTGCTCAGTTCGAAACAAGTATTTTTCTATTCTTTATCTGTGATTTGTTTCGTATTGGGCATCTGTATTGAGGGTTTAACAGGATGGAATCCTGAGGGTGTGTTTCCTTGACATAAAGAAATTCCTTTACAGAAAGAAAAATACGGATTAAATATATGTGGCGAAGGTGGAGAGTATGAAACATTTACTCTCGATTGTCCATTGTTTATCAAGACTATTGTCATGTAAGTATGGTCCTCCCCAAGCCCATACATATAATGGTGAAGTAATAATATTAGTAATAGTAATATTCCTACTAATAAATAGTTATAGATAAAAAACCCTCACAGTGTTATAAATTTCATATTTTAAATAAAAAGTAAGAATTGTAATAAATGTACAAATATCCAATTTCAGTGATGAGTATGAGACTGTGATCCATTCTAATGATGCTGTGGCTCCTGTCGGTTATTTGAACTTCAAGGACCTTCGACTTGTTGAGAAAGAGGTAACCGTCACATTTTTTTGCTTGTCACTCTCTCTTTGCTTAATGACTGTATTAGATTGAATTCTGGGATTCAACAAACCTGAATATGATCATCTGCTGAAAGTAATTTTCTATTACAATTATGAATTTGAAAGCTGTTTGTGCTTGAAAGTAACTATTTATTATCCATGGGTACCAGATCTTCGTGGTTTCTCTGCCAAGATTTTATAATGATATCTACTTATTGTTTGCTGCAGATTGTCATAGCGTTTCTGCTAGAGATTATAACTACCCAGATCTATCAATAGATCTGCTTTTTTGGATGTACCGTCACAAGTTTACCACAGGTAGTAGGTTCCACCATTCAGCATTGTTAATTTTATTACATTTAAGTGAAGGCAAATCTACTTACATCTAATCATCATGCCATAAAAATGCACAGGGGAGCAGAATTTAAGCTCCTTGCATTCCCTTATCATTAGGTGAAGATGAGTTATTAGCTCACATTCTGGCATATTTGCCTATGGTATGCATTGAATACGAGACTGGGTGAGTCCTAACATCAGCCTGGCATGGTGGCAAAGAGAATTGACTGCCAGTAATTGAATCCCAATTTTCCAGGTCAGTTAACTGAACTACCTTGGATACATAACCAACCATACAGAATTGCATGTTTTCTCTTTTCTTACTTGACCCCCTCCCACCTTTAGTCATGAGGTTTGGTCAACAATTTTCATGACTGCAGTGCACTGTTTCCTTAAGGAAACAGGTACACCAAATTAAACATTTAACTAAGCAGTCTTGTTTCGTGTGGCCCTGTTTGTGAATTGAGAAGCTTTTAAACTTCAGATACTTTTCAATTTACACTTGGTTTCCATTTCTATAATATAGTGTATGTAATTGAGTGCACATATTTATACTTCTTGTTTCTGTGGTTCGTTAGAATGTAAACCCTGTAAGCAGCATGTTGGAACGAATATGCAACATCCCCGTCAAAACTTGGCTTGATCTTATCAGTGATCTTAATGAAGATGTAACTGAAGGCAAGCTTGTCGATCGTGGGGAGATGGATGAAGATTCAGTAGAGGAACCTCCACCTCTTCCATTTCACCCAAGTAGTCCTTCTCATGGACCTGAAAGTCAGTCCTATTTAGTGGAAGAGTCATGTCTGGAATCAGGACTCCCATCCCAAGTTACATGGGAAGATGATCCACTGCCAGTTGTTGCAACATCGAAGTGTAATGAATTGGGTTGGTGCTGGATTGCTGGTTTGGTTGGTGAAGGAGAAGATTGTGTTTTAGCAACAAGGCAAGCACTTCGCAAACTCAACAGTAGGTACCTATGGGTTTCTTTCCTTTTCTTAATTGTACATATGATGCCTAATATGAAAAGTTAAGTAACTAGCTCAGTGGAGCTGAATCCTTGAGAAGCAACCAGTCGTTCAGCTACTCAAGAATTTTCCAATTATATGGATCCTGAATGTTCATTACTGTGTTCACATGTTATGTGCCTGTCACTGGATCCTATTCTGAGCCAGATCAGTTCTGTCCACGCCACCTCATCCTATTTCTCTGAGGTTCACCTTAATTTGTTCTGTTATCTACATCTTTGTCTTTTTAGTGGACTATATACATTCATCTTCTCCCCCTTATATGCTACATGCCCTGCCCATTTGATCCTACTCTAGTTAGTCATTCTAATTATACTTGGTGAAGAGTACAAGTTATAAAGCCCCTCATTATGCAGCTTTCTCAAACCTCTTACCATTTCATTCTTCCTTGGTCCAGATATTTTCCTCAGCACAGTGTTCTGAAATACACTCAACTCCTGATTATCCGGGATAATGGTGGGGATGGAAATCACGATTAATCGAAAACCCAGTTAAGACAAATTTTATTAAAAGTAGTACTGTAATACTGTACCTTCATAATACTATAGGCCTACCTGTATTTAAATCTATTCAACCTCATTTTTATGTCATCTCATGGCCTATTTAATACTTTTTTTACATTACACTGAAGTATGAACTAGTTATTTCAGTCACAATGTTCAACAACATCCAACACTTTGTATGAATATTCACACTTAACACTAAAAAAATTTAATATTGTCATTTGCTTTTTCGCAGCATTTTCCTTTTTACACATATCCGCACAAAACCTACGTTACGTAATATTAGCTTGTCACTTAATAAACTGTTCTCTTCACTCTCAAGATAGTCTAGTAAGGATTCCAAATGATTAAGAGCAGCACCATGTGATAATTTCTTACTAGCAGCACTGTCCACCTCTTCCTCATTCTCACTTTCTTCCCGCTCTTCTGACTGCACCCCCACTTAACTTACGATTTCGTCACTGCTTAACATTTTGAAGCCCGGCTCACACGAGTTACTGTTGAATACTTAACACAACACGCTTCATTTTACACCCTGACATTTTGCTAACGCACTTGAAGATCGATACAAAGAGACTAA